AAGCAAGAAAGAAGATATGTCGATTTTCACAGACAATTTATTGCGAACTATGTCAGTTTTGATCGTTCCAACTATACCTAATTCCTTCTCACACTGTGTAACTATCAATAATAATGCATCAAGTGAAAAGTGACATTTTCGACAAAAATTGTTTAGGGTTTCTTTATAAAAAGGTGAAAAAGTACCGTAGGGCTGAAATTTTTTGTTTACCTGCCTTTCATTTATGTCAATACGTAGGTACTATTCGTACAAATTACACGAAAACACAATGATGTCTCCGACATTCACAGATCCGAAAGCCTGCTGACTAAAATAAAATTCTATTTCTAATGTAATAAAGTGGGCTAGGAAATCATAATTTTTCGAAACTAGTGGAATCGAATTCGCTTACTTTAATATTTCAGATACGAGAACGCAAAATAACTAAGAAAAGTCTACATAAATAAAATAATATGTAAGCACTACTCAATAAAATATGCATGCATTTTGGGCAAATTTTAGTTTTATTCTTTACATGCTTGCCCCTTATCATCACCATAAGGTCGTCAGTCCTAAGACTGATTGGACACGCACCTTCACTCCTTCCTATCCTGAGCTAACCTTCGCATTTCCCTAACACTAAAACGTCCCATAACCTTAACTATTTGCGAAAAGTATTCAGGAATCTTAGTCCACTTCTATCCCTTCTAACTCCCGTTTCTGCCTCATATGTCTCTGACTAGACTTGTCCCTTATATCTATTAAAAATGATCACGATATTCCTATATACCATCAAATTATTACTAAAATTGTCACACACATAGACGACAACGATAGCTATTCATGTCAAGAAGGACGAGCGACGTGGTGCTCATGCACGGGAAAGAGAGGAAGTTTCTACTTCTGCCTCATCGTAAAGTAAACCGCACACTTGCGCGTGCGACAGACTGCTGTACTAAAAGTCCCAAAACGCATGGGCGAAGTCACAAGACTATATATAGTAACCCTTTTCTATTGTTGAATAAATTGCATGGAAATACTTGAAAATTTAATTTATTAAAGTATTTTAGTAAATAATTTGAAGAAAGCACGGTTAGATCATTTTCCATTGTTATTGCTGTTTGCTTTTCTGCTTGACTTTTCTCGACGTTATTTCCTAACCAATATTTTTTCTTTGCGCGCGTGGTGCCTTTTACAAAGGTAAGGCTGAGGTTGTTTATGATTGTCCTTTTTCTTTTTCAGAAAAGTCCAATCCGCCTTCGCCGAAAAAAAAATTCTTTGGAAGTTTCCGAAGTAATAAACGTCCTTCGAACGAGTCGCGTTCAAGAATGGCGGACTCTGCTCTAAAGGATTTGGCTCATCCTTTCTACAATGACACCCTTAAGGGACATAACTCCGTTACATTCAAACTCGTCCGGACCGGTACGTAGCAACAAATCAATGTGTTTCTTGTCATAAATATTTAACAATATTTGTTCGTCAATTCAATATCAAAATGTACACGAAGCAAAAAATGTTTATTATTTTTTTATTATTGATAGTTATAACCTATTTTATTAAGGTTTCATATCTGAAAAAAGAAATCGGAACCTAAAATTATGACTAATCATCAAAACGAGTCGATTTTTATTAGGATTTCATATTTAAAAAAAAAAAGGAAAACCTTTTTGCTATCACTTCGTTTCTATTTGTCTCTGTCCGTCAAAACTGTACTACAAGAAACAATTACTGTGGAATCTGTAATTCCAATAAAAAAAAGTAAAATACTATTCATTTATTTCCCTGCTTCCCTCCAAAAATTGTATAGGGTTGTTCGGAAACTCATTTCGTTTTTTTTTGGGGAAATGAAAGACAGTTTTCGTATAATAAACAAATACTTTATTAAATCATATGTTGACCGTTCTGGTCCAACACCTTTTGTCATCTTTCTGATAGTAGCTTAATTCCACGCTCATAAAATTTTTGGTCTTTGCTGGCAAAAAACTGATCGAGGAGGTTTTTGACCTCCTCATTTGAGGTGAAGGTTTTACCGTCTAAAAAATTTTGGAGTGACNCATTAATTTGCTCTTCAGTCTTCCATTAACATTTAATTAAATTTAAATTATTTGATATCATATATCTTGTAAGAATATTTTTTGTGTTGACGTAAGTGTTCGTTTTTTCTATTCAGAGACAGATACATTAATTATGTTATTATTCCTTCCTGGATTTAAATCAAACCCTTTAATGTTACTCGTTTTCTTAAACAATTTTTTTTTACCACCGTGTTCGATAGGGTAGTCGATATTCTTATAGACGTCAAACATTATAAAATCCCACTGAAATGTAGCAATTTTCCACAGATGGCATTTACAACGCTGTTTGCAGTAAACCATAGTTTAATTACTTTGTTGACGATAAAACTGTTCTTTGATTTACGGCGTGTTTTTTTATCAAAATATTATATATATTGTAATTTGCCATATGTAACAGGATCCGTATAATTCCTGCCTTCTTTCACAAGTTTTGGGTTACCGCATGAATAATATACAGTTCCGTACACCTTTTCTCATTTTCTTTTGAATTCGCATCTAAACGGCCATTACCTTTAGGTGGTCTCATTTTTCAAGTTCTGTTTCCTTTAAGACCCTAACGGCTGACTTGTCAAACAAGAACTGAAAGTAAAAATAACATAGAAAGTCAATATATTGACCTTTTATTTCCATTCTACAATATAAAAGCATTTGTAATAGGTATTATGTATTTTCTTTTAAACCAACTATGTCCTTAGCTTTTCTGAATATATTAAAAATCGAAATTTATTTGTTAACAGATTTTAATAGCATTAGTAAATAATTAGTTAAACTTCAGATGGAAGATTCATTCCAACTACCACTAACACAGTATAAACTGGTGGAGATTGTCGTCATCATCATCATAAAGTCGTTTTTCCCTAGTTTTTCTTCCTTTAGGTACATACCAATATTTTTGTTTGACTTTTATTTATTGTTATACAATACTCTTTCGCCAGTATCGTTTCCATTTTATTTAAAGCTAATAATCTAAGCATAATAATCTTTTGCCCCTGTATATCTATTCTTACTTTTCTTTCTTTGCTTCCCTACATTGCAGCCCCAACCCTGTAACTGCCTGTTGCTCTATATACAAACTAAGTATCACTCTTCTGTCTTAGTAGCTCATCCGTACATTTTTAAATATATTTAACATCTTGTCCCATTTTCTAAATCTACAAATCCTTTTTCTATCGTTTTCTCTATTGTTACCCGTAAAGCTAGAATGGTATGGAATAAATAAACTAAAAAAGGAATTTATCCTAGTTACCACTAAACTTTTTCCGCCAGGACATGTATTGCACCCAAATTGTAATTTAGGCGTTATCAACAAGAGGCGATCTCTTTTACCTGCAGTCAGTTATCTGTAGCATACTTATACATTTTAATCTTCCTCTGTGCAATTATTGCACGATTATCTATTACCGGTGGACTTTAAAACACTTTAAAGTGACATGCAATTGTAATGCAGCTTAAATTGCCTGAATTGTTTTAGAACAATGCTTCAGGTATTTGCACCAGTGAATTCTACCTTCCGGGCATAGCTGATAAAACGGTATTGCTCTGAAAATTAATAATGCGTCGCTAACCACGTCACGTCTATATGGGGTAATCTACCCTTGCATTTCGAACGGATTCTTCCTAGCTCTATGCGAGTTACTACGTACTCATTAAAGAGAAATAAATTGCAACATTATTATGGAGCAAGATCCCAGAACTGACAGACATTACTTATTTTTTGTGTAACAAAAAGGGTACGGTAGAATGGTGCTAGTATCTAAGTACTTTGAGTGTAACCTGTTAATTTGGGTCAACGCGACGGCCAATGGGAGATGTTTAGCTTCTACAATTTGCTTGACAAAAAGTATTGAAATAGTTCTCTAAGTATTATGTTTAAAAATAAAGTATCAGACTATAAGTCAAATTACGACTTTTTTGAGAACTTTGAAGCGTCTGGCAGAAATTACCGCCGGTAGGAAGTGTCTAGCAGTGTTGATTGTTAATTTTTAACAATATTCTGTGAAACATTATGTAAAAATCAACATAGACTTTAGGAAAAGCGAGTAATGTTTTTACGTATCTTTATTAGCAACTGATATCTGTAAAATGGCCCTAGACCCAAGTTACCTGGTATGCTACGCTCAAAGTACAAATTACATACATTTTGATACTCAGAAAATGAGTTATGTCTAGCGGCTATGGGATCTTGGACTATCAGATATTATGATAAATGAAAAGCTAGTTTGTTGCATATACTATAGACTAGAACTAGATAAAATACTAAAATTGTCATAGTCGGCTTCTACATTGAACCCTGTTTTCGTGGACGCCCTGCGAAATTATTTGACAAAACTTTAAATTCATTTTATTCTTACATCGTTTCTGCCGTTTTAAAGAGAAAATGCTATATGAAATTCAACATGCGATTAAACTTTACTAAGTCTGACTGGAAAAGGTCAAAGTTCAAAGCGCCATTTCTCATATATGTTAAGTCAACATAGAAATTTGTAACGTATATGAACAGCTTCATAGGCAAGTTCAACTAGACAGGTTACATATATAATTTTATCTAGGCATCATCAAGTTCGACAGAACACAGGAAAAGCAGGGTTGGGGTTTAGTCTTTTATGAAGCAGTAGTTTTTAAAATAGAAACTACCTTACGGAATCAATTCTAATTTTATTTATATTCCAATATGTTTATTACATAAATTTCACCAACATTTTATTTCTCATATTTGATAAACCGTTATTTTCCATACCTCAAAATGAAAAATCACCCTTTAAGACTACTCTGCTGACATATTCAGAATAAACAGACAAAATCACGTCTGGAAGTGCCTTAAAAATACCAAAAAGATTTTATGAAAAAAGAAATACAGACTCCAAATAGTAACACTACCCTTAACTAACACTGATCGAAGACTAAAAAGTGAATCAATAATAAGTCTATATAAAGATAATTTTATAGGATTGGTTGAGTTGGAGTAACCGAAGACGTTGTGATACGCACATGATTCGGTAGTAACTACCTAGAGGACATTTTCTTCGCCGTAGCTTCAATGTGGAAGTCCGACCATCGTGGTACTCTCGTAGACAAGGAAGCAAAAGCGGCAGCTTCGCAATGTCGAACTGCGCTAGAGCATGTACGTAATCTATCCTGCCGATGAAGTAGTCTATTTATCGTATGGTCGTGTGATCGTTATCCCCCGAGTTAATAACCAAGGCCGAGAGGCCGTCGACTGTTCATCAGCTTCCCCCAAAACACCCCAAGTAGCGAACGATCTCAGTGTTCCTTCCACCAGTACCAGCTCAACCAGAAGCTACCATTCCGTAGTAAGTGGTCCTTCACTGTCCAACCTCTCCGAAGAACAAGAAGACGAAAACGAGGAGGAAAATTTCGAATCCAATCAATCGCTCGAAACAAACAAGACATCGTACGTGAAAAGTTCGCCGAAAAATTTTCGCGAGCGCGTCAGTAGTCTTTCAAAGAGACTTTCGGCCGACAATTCAAAATCTAGTAGCTCAAGTGGAACTCTCTTCTCCGAGAAACCACCTCCGTCACCAAGAAGTGCTAAGCTGAATTTTCTTAATATCAATCTCCATCATCGTAGCCGATCGGCGTCGCCATCTGAACCGATCAACCGTCGGCTTTCGTACACGGACTACCTCAGTGCTAACAGAAGCAATTCGCCGATAAATACGAAAATTGTCAGTGATTCTCATCTCGCGGTTCCAAAACGCGAACGGTCTCCTAGAGGGGTAGAAGGTCCTACCCTTCGCGTTCCACAGTTCGCAGGGAAGTCTTCGAAAAGTGCCGAAGACTTGCCAAAAACAAGCAGTGCTAGTGCTCCTTGCAGTTCGAATGATTTCGGTTTCGAGTTTAATAAACAGAATAGCAAATTCCTGACACTTCCCAGGACCAGGACGCAATCTCTCTCGGCAGGTGAACGTTTTGCCCAAAGAGTGTGACAATTTACGATCTAACAAGTAATTAGCCGAGTTTTAAGCATGTTGTTTTCAAAACTAACATTTCGCTTATTATTTTATTTGCTAAAGCTCAAGTTTATTATTTTCCATATTATACATTGTGTAGGGGGGGGTATCGATCGATTGAGAACATACTTCCTGTTATTGTAGCCGTCTGGGGGTAAGTCTAAGGCACCCGTTCAACGAAACTCACAATTTATTAACAGTATAAACATTATTTTTACATTACCACTTTCTTAATGGACTTAGCTTTTTTCAAAGCTTTTAATTTTATTAGTTCAAAAAATTGAAGTGTCCCTTTTACGTTCTTCTTATTTCTGATGCAATCGACGATTCAAGGGAAATACAAATAATTTTCTAATCTATCCCAAAAGTTTAATAAAGCAACATGATATTTATTAAATTCAACAGTATTGGTTATTGTTTTTTACCTATCTTTGATAACTTCTTGGAAACAAAATTTTGGTTGATAGATTTAAATGAAAACTAAAATTACTTTTCTGATTGCTATTGCTTTTGTTCTTTCTTTAGGGTTTATAAATTTATTTTATTACCATACCAAATAATATCAAGAAGGTATTAGAACAACTATTAGTATAACGACTAACTTGGAAGCACTTTTATCAACAACATAGGTACTTTTTATCCTGCTTCTAGGATGTTTAATTTAACTATTACGGGTATATTTTAAATCTTGATATAACATTAGTATATTACATAGATCTAATACTTTTCAGTGCTTGTCGGTTGATGCCATAAAACTGATTTTAAGCTTAGGTTTTCAACACCTTTTCTTATAATTTCTATGAAACAAAAGTAAAGTTTAAAGGCATAAGAAATAGCGTAACATTCTCAGTCAGTAAATCCAATAAAAGTAAAGTAGATTACATTGTTTATTATTAGTTTTTGAAAAGGCTTCGTGGCTTTGTTAAAAGGATTGAAACGATTCAATCAGAGCTAAAAGAGCAGCGTGTCCTAATTTCCAAATTATGGTTCGTAGTATGAATAATAAAACAAAGTTTTCTTAGTGTTGTTCTTGCAAAGTTATGGTAAATAAGGATATGCTTTTTAAATATTAAAAGCTTTAGGAAGCGTTAAGGTAGGTAATTACAAAATGGAGCACTAGCATTTCCATTTACTTTATTTATGTGGTATACCTACCATCATAGCCAATCAGTTATTATGGTGCTTAAAACGTCTAAAGTTAGTTGTTCTAACAAAATTTTGTTGCTACACTAATTTTCCACTACCCTTCGGTTTAATATGCAAAACAAAAGGAACGCGAAGATACTGTAACATACAGCTCGTTAAAATGTTAAATTACGTACATACAACTAATTCTAAAATGACATCTTATCAATGAAACCCAAATAGTAATTGTTTAGTCTTTATTTAATTACACAATAATTTATTTATAAAAAATTTAAAACCATAACGACAGTTTTAAAGTTTTATGTGTATGTACAAGGTCTGTCCAAAAAGTATCGCGAATTTTGAATTTCCGCGGGTTATGTATATTCGATTTTCAATTTTTTTATGGCGATATGTTAGTGCTCATGTCTCTCACTTTTACCGACAAGTTCAGCCATGTTGAATGTTCAGTTAATTTTTGACAGACAATGGATCAAAGAATCTGTATCAGATTTTGTGTGAAAAACAAAAAATAAAAACACAAAATTCGCGATACTTTTTGAACAGACCTCTTACATTCTAAAATAACATTTACAAATTAATAATCATCGACTTATTTATTTAATTGGGGTAATTAAATCATTATTGATAATATGAAAACACTTTGTTGAAACTGAAAAGATTCTGGTCTACGTTTTATTTACATTTTTTAGTTATATCAAAAAAGCCCGCAAAGGTTCGAATTTTGTCGATGTTACGAGGCTGTTGCTTGCCCATTTGAGCACAGATTTTAATTTCATTAAAATTAATAGAATGAGCACACATTACTGCACATATTGCAGTTTCAAGATATTATGTATGTAGCAAATATTTGATATTATTTGGCTTTATAAGTCTAAAATAAAGTTTTACAGTGTATAGAACTAAAACATATTAAAATTTTAATCGCATGTATTCCAGTCTTGTAAATTTACAGAAGATAACAGTATAGATTAGATCATTATATCATCCCACTAACGGCAAAATTTGCTTTAATCTCGCACTAATTTTTTTATTTTTGCTGATATTAAAATTAATAATTTGTCGAATGTATAAATAGACTGTCGGCTGGAATAATATTAAAACTGATCCAAGTTAATAATGCAGTGTTTGTTCAGAACTTCCATTTATCTAACCTCGTCTCTAATATTAGGTGGTGTAATTGCGTTCAAAAAACTTACGTTCGAGGGAAAAAAGTGGCCCCAGGGAACACTGGATTTTTGGGAGAGAAATATAAATTTATTCCGAATATACAATCACATAAGTTCAAGAATAATTATAAATTTTGCTTTGGAGCGTTAGCATTCGGGAATCCTGTCACCATATTCTGAATAGGTATTAATGTCTCTGGCATCGTCAATCCAATTTTTTTACCCATGAGGTAACGTATGCTAGCATGTGGGGGATGCTAATTGTTTGTAGGTGAGACTCTACATATTCCGATGACTTTCTATACTTCCAATTACAATTTTTTATGGCTGAAGGAATGAAAGTTCTTATTATTCATAAAAACCATTTATGTTCTTGTTACTGCAAGTTCATATTTTGTTATGAAACGAATGCCGCGGACAATCGATACTAGCTACACCTTTGATTTTAAATTATCTATTGAACTAACTAAACGATGCGATTCATAGCACATTTTCGAAAGGTAAATTAATTTCATTGTGCAATACGTGCTTTTTTCTTGATATGTTTTTTCTTGTATGTCGAATAAACTGATAAACATAAACAAAATGCAATGTTTGGTGTCATTTTAATTTTTGTTCTTTTATTTGGAACTAACATCACTAGATATATTCAAAAAATAAGGTCCTAAAAAATGTATAAACTCACAAATTAAAGTACATAAAAAAAATCTCTAGAAAGTAAATATAATAAACGAATCACGAAATAGATAGGGTCAATTTTTTATCTACCTTATTATTGAAGGTAAAACCATCTGCCTTTTTTCTATAAAATAATTATCGTACGTGTCATTATTGGAAAGCAACAAATGCGTGTTCAGAAGTTTACGAACTCGTTATATATTTAACACCAATATCGCGTTGTTACTTTTTCCTTTCGTCTATTTATGTCCCTTAACAACGTTCGACATGAATCCTTTATTACTCTTTGACACGCGTTTGTCAAATTGTTCTGTACACTCTTCCAAAGTAACCTATAAAGGTTAACAAAAGTGCCGTGTTATTGTAAAAAATGTGTGAAAACTTCTGTGAGATCTACACAATGGAAAATAAAAAAGAAAATGATGATAAAAATTTTAAACATGAAAAACTCACCAACTTCTACCATATAATTTTTACATTGTCACACGATGAAGTTTATTGAAGTAATTTAACCAAATTAACCTTTGACCTATTTAGTTGAGGTATTCGTAGTGACTCAATTCTTCTTTTGTTCGCTCAATTTTTTAAAAAAGTTTTCACTAATTCAGTTGAAGAGTTGTTCTTCAAAAGTCTTGTGTTCAAACACCATTAGCAAAATAATTATATTCTTTATTTAAAATAGCTCTCTTATAAACAGCAATCTACGATATAAGTATTAGAAATACGTACAATTACTACGTTTCTCGCCTTGCTTGTATGTCAGCATTTTTTAGTTAAAACAGCACCAATACA